CTTGAACGATCCGTACACTTGCGTTAGTTTTTTATTCGAAACATATTTTCGATGAATAAAATGTAATATATTTATGTTAAAAATCTTGAGCTTACCTTCATGCGCGAAAACTTTCTAGCTTGTCACAGTGTGGAGTCGGAAAATTTCTATTCCACTGACGCCTCTGCGTTTCCATGTGACAATGGCGTCTGAGCATATGTTTGTAGTCCTTGATAACATTATTTTCAATGACATCTCGACCAGGGCTTCCATGCGGATAATTTTTATCAAATTCTGGTGATTTCACAAAAAACTCCAGCCCATGTTTCTCTGTTGTCTTCTTAAACTGGTAGGAATAGTTTCTCTGCAAAGAATACTCAGGCTCCGAGAAATGAAGATAAGCAAGCAAGATGATTATCAAAAATGGCAGCAACTGAAGAAGCAACATCAGATTATGTCCATTACTACCCAAATCTTCTCTCTGATGACCCCCAGCATTGGCAGTTCTAGTCCTGTAAACGTGAGAATTCCTGAACACATCATGCTGACCAAAGAATGCCCTGAATATCTCATCAGGATCAAATTCGTCAGCGAACAAGTCATTCTCAGTTCTCCTCCGCCTCCGACTAACATTATACTGCTGATTATGCTCAAATTCATCGACTAAACCAGTATGATCATACTGCCTCCTGGAATCATCGTCACTCAAACACTTGAATGCTTTGCTGACTTTCTTAAATGCTTCCTCAGATGCTGGAGCCTTGTTTTTATCTGGATGGACTTTCAGGGATAACTTGCGGTATGCCTTCCTAATATCTTCCACAGAACAACTCTTCTCCACACCTAGAACTGCATAGTAGTCCTTCTTAGTTTTAATCTGTCTAATCAATTGTATATGCTCCTCCGTATAATTCCTCTCCCCATCTTGAGCCTCATCGCTGTTAAACCGGCCATTTTCATCATTCATCCCATTAACATTATTTCCCTCATTAGAGGGACCAGGTGATGATGAAGAATCAAGATTTTCACACATGGCCAGAAGATCATCAACAGGTAAATTGTGATTAAGACGACGAGCAATTCCAATAAATTTTAGGGCTCTTTGTTTATTGCCCGATCCAATTGCCTCCTTGGCAATATTAATGCACCTTAATGCCTCATCCTTGTTACCATCCATAATGATTTCCCACTTTCCAATCACTGCCCAGCTTAAAAATCAACAAATATTTCCCCAAAATTCAACCCAAGATTCAGAACCTGAAAATATTGAACGCCCCACGAGATCATAATTTCGATTATAGCAAATTCTAGTGCAAGAAATAAGGATCTGAGTTTCCTAACATAACTATACTAAAAAACAAATCAGAGTCGTTAAGTTCCAGAAATAAACAGTACCAAAAGGAACAATAAACAGAGGGATTATTTAATTGAACTGTGAACCCAAAACATCACAAAAAAAATGTTTACCTTTAGGCCGTTAGAATCTGAAATCTCATGAACGATTTAGAGAGAGAAATGGGGTGTTCCATAGATGTAGTTTTAGGTATGCTTATATATAGTGTCAACGGTCAACCAATTACCACTTGCCACGATAGATTTGTCCACCCATCTTAAAATTTGTCTGTTTTCCTACCGTCAGATATTTTAGTCTTTAGAGCATGTTGGGTCCAGAAAAGTAA